CAGGAAGGAGCAGGCATTAAATAGATACAGCCCCGGCCCTCTCTCTCATCGCTTTGCCCACCTTCCTCTACACATGGCCCTGACGATGGCGCCTTTGCTGGAGCTCCCTCCCAAGAAGTCACAGGAAATGTCGGCAGGGGTTCCAGGTGGAGGCTGGGTCAGCGTCCAGCAGCTGTCGGAGCCCAGAGGTAGTGCGTAGATCCATGGTCCTTGGTCCTGTGGCCCCAGACGGTCACTGCCACTGCCCCTGCTGTCACTGTCCACACGGCAGGTGTCCAGGTGGGTGTCTGGGGGAGGGGCGGCCCTGGTGAGTACGGCCTGAGCGCGGGTCCTAGGGACAGGCTCGCAGCTGGTGCCACGCCTGTCCTGACCCCCCCTCCGGGGAGAAGCCAAAGATGGGGAGAGACAGGAGCCCGGCGAACAGGCAAGGCCTCGACGGCCATGTGGAACATGAGACTCTGTTTGTGTTTCAGGCAGGGAAGTGGCCTACTGGTCAGATTTGATCCTCCTGTTCATGCAGCATCGGGACCCAGCAGCCATGTGGGTGACATGTCTGAACACCCAGCCCACCAGAGAAGCCTTAGGTGTTGAGTTCAGCAGTGGAGTCTGGCTTGAGGGGTCCATCCTATAGGCTCCTGTCCCATCTGAGCTGCCTGCCTCACTCTCGTCACTCCCCGTGGTCACCCTCTCCCCCCACACCTGTTCTCTGGAGAGCTCTAAGTTCCTCAAAAGGGCTGTGTTCTCTCTCCTCTCTGGACCTTCTCATGCCAGTGTCTCCTTCCATGAATACAAACAACAGCCTCCACCTGACTGAGGTCTGCTGCTTCCTCAGGGCGCATGTCCCTGACATCCCCTCCCAGGTCAGTTTCCTTCTGTGCACATTGCAGCTCCCTTTCAGATGGTCACCTCACTTGTAATGGATGGGTGGGGTGAACGTGTGTGTGAGTCTGAGATCACTGAATTACTTCCACTGACCGAAGGTGGTGATGGTATGAGCCTGAGGTTGTGTGGGCCACCATCCATAGCATTAAAAGAGAGAACCACAGACCCAGTATGGCGTCACTTGTGCTAATGGCTCAGGGGCTGATTGCAGTTTGGGAATACGCCAGAGATGGGATCCTAAACAACCAGTCGGGAATATTCTGATCAATACCAATGAGGTGTTCAGTGTGGGCCCTCTCCATCCCTCCCATTGGGAGAGGGGCAGTACGCGTGATAAAACCCTGCCCCCTGCCCCAATGTCCACCCCCAATAAAGCTGTCTTGGCCTAAAAATAATCTACTCTGCTAATAGCTCTCTTGTTCTACCTTTCTTCCATTTTGTATGATCCCTCCGAGCACTTCCGGTTGTTAGATGGAATACTGCCCACCACATGAGTCACTTCATAAAGCCAGTTAGATCTTCAAATGGGCATGGCTGAGTCTGTTCTGATTTAACAGTAGCCTGAAGAACTTACCCAACCCAGAGTGAGCAGAACCAAGAGATGGCTCCTTGTGACAGCATTTAAGCGCTGAATCAAGCTGTAGCTGAAGCCAACTCTATCCTTGCACATTTCCCTGAAGAGAACCAATCAAGTCCCTTCTGACACGCAGACCTGTTTGGGTTGGAGCTGCTGTCAGTGGCAAAGGAATTCCTCTAAATCAGTGTTTCCCAAACTTTTGACATATGTGTACCCCTTCTATAATTTTCGTAACGCTGAGTACCCCCTGTCCTCATGAGAATGTAGAATTAGGTGCAGCTAAGCACGGGCAGTGCATATCCCCACCAAACTCCGGTGCAACGCGTACCCCCACCAAACCCTTCCCGTACCCCTGGGGGTGCGCGTACCACACTTTGGGAAACACTGCATGATAGCCTTGGCTTACGTTGTCTTCCTTTCGCCATGAACGCGGGGAATTTATCTGTGTCCTCAGGGTCTGGCTCAGTGACTGACTCCGAGACTTCATCGTTTGATTCCTGGAACCGAGCAGCGGGCTGCGGTTCTCCCTGGGTGATGATCTTGTGACGGAATCCCATTGGAACCAATTTTTTATGGAGCAGGGAACTTCCCGCTACAAGAGGGCAGCTACTCACAAGTCACCTGAAGGCGCCCTGGGAAAGGCCTGCTGCTTCAGTGCCTGAAGGCCTTCTGGTAGCAGGACTAACAGAGTCCTGAGAACTCTTGAGACTTCTCTGTTATTACGTAATCTGCATTTGCTTGTATGAGTATAAAGTAACTCTGAAAGGATACACAAAAACTAACTAAAATGGCCACTTCCACAGAGTCGGCTCCATGGAAGGCATACAGGCATAGGAATGAGAATTTCTGTATTGTTTGAATTTTGAGCCCTGTGAATGTATTGTCTTTTTAAAAATTAAGTTAAAAAGGAAGATCCAAGAAAGCGCAGAACCACTAGGAGCTATTATCAGCTCTGAACAGCTGGCAGAGGGCACTTATCAGTTCCCTTTTCGGTGGAGGAGTTGCTTTTAGTGCGGGACACCCTGATAGACTTAACAGGATGGGCTGTCTTGGTTGAAGAAGGGGGAGGTGAAAAGAGGACGAAGAACCTCGGGGGAGAATCCGGAGAGATCTGGCCTGAGCAGGTCACACACTGGACAAGTTGAGAGGAAGGAGGATTAGGCCAAAGGGCAGGCAAAGCATCAAAAATACTCTTTCTTGGGACTCACCTGCCCCTGGCTGGACTTGATAATTTCCAAGACTCCTGACACCCAGACAATGGGTGTCAGGAACCTCCTCAGCCGCCTCTGCCGAGCCTGTCACCTTGATGTCCCCCCTTTTGTTGTAGGTGAGGATTGTCTCATTGCTACCTCTAACTCTGAATCCCAGAAGTACTTATGGATTTGGTTTTTGAAGTGAATCAGTTTCCATTTCCTTCCACAAGCTCAAGAGGACAAGTGCTTTTGAGTACATTTCCTGAGTCAGACCGATCTAGTGCTTGGGGCCTATCTTTTCAGACAGGGTGGTTTCGATGAGGGGCAATTTCTGTTTTCATTCCGATAAAAACAGCAGGCAGATTCTGATAAAAACAGGACGGGTGATGGTTTAGAAAAGTGTTCCGGGTGCTTTCCCAAGACCAAAGTCCATGAAGAGAAATGAGACCGGGTCCTCAGTACACGCCTGCCCCCTATGGGTTAGATTCCCAATTTATTAGTCTCACCAAATCTGTAGGCTCAGCATATTGGGTCTCTTCAAGTCCCTAAGTCCCTGGAGCTAAATTGGTCTCATTTTTTTCCTTCACGGTCACTAGCTTAGCCCTGTAAAGGCTCCTGCGGGATAGCCTTCCTGGGCCGGTCCCCCCCAGGCCTGAGTGATGGCCGAGGTTGGGCTCAGAACGTGTAACTTGACTCAACAGCTGACCCGAAATTGCAGTAAGGACTTTAGACTATAAAAGGGAAAGTGTAAGCTTTCCTTTCTCCCCTCTGGAAGCAATGTATGTTTCTAGCACAAGTATTGACACAAGCCAGCGGTTTCCATTCTGGTGATGTGATAATCAATGATGAGCCAATGGGGAATGTCCAGTGCTGAATTTCACTAGGTTGTGAAATAGTCTAAGTGTACCGGCTCGGCCTGTAGAGGTCTGTATTTTAATGTTTGATATTGACCAGAATCAAAGCCACCTAACATAAAAGACAGATAACTGCCACTCCCTAGGAAACCCTGAGTTCTCCTGTCTCCCGTTGCCACCAACCCAGCACAGCGCAGGTGGGCACTGCGAGCGAAATGCACTTGTGCTTGGAAGCTCCCTTTAAATGGGTAAGATGAAGCTTGGAGGTTCTAAAGATGTTTACATCAACATAGGAAGAAAGCTGAGAGGGAAGAGCTATCTAGAATCATGGCAGAAAGTTGTCCTTAAGGTATGCATTTTAATTTTTTAAATTATTATTTTTTTTTAGAGAGTGAGGGATAGAGAGAGAGAGAAACATTGATGAGAGAGAAACATCATCAATCAGCTGCCTCCTGCATGGCCCCTCCCCACACTGGGGATGGAGCCTGCAACCCTGACATGTGCCATGTTTGGGAATCGATCCATGATCTCCTGGTTCATAGGTCGATCCACACCACCCTGGATCCTATCCTTTTGAAACTCACATCTCTTTGACCCCAGAATCCAAGTTCTTCCCTACAACATGTATCTCCCCTTGTCCCAAATGTATGGCTAGTGTAACCCTGGGTCCATAAAATCTTTCAAAAGGAACGGTATTCATACCACTGCAAGACAGGAGAAAACTTATGTCATTAAATCCAACTCTCATTTTGTAGATCAGCCTGCAGACCCAGTGGCTCACTCACAATGACCCAGGAAGTCAGCGGCACAACCATCTCAGACAGTCAAGAGTCTGACATCTAATGTCCAAGCAGAATAAAATAAGCACACAAATAATTATAATACAAGGTACGATGTAAGAAATAGAACATTCAAAAGCAAACGGAAGGAGGAGAAATTACACTGTTTGGCTGGGGTAGGCTGTGGGAAGGGAGGGCAGTCTAGATAGGGGTACAACAGTTTTCAACTTTTTTGGTCTCAGGCCCCTTTTTCACTCTTAAAAATTATTATGAACCCCAACTAGCTTGTGGATTTTGGGTAGTTTTATCTATTGACTAGAGGCCTGGTGCATAAATTCATGCATGGCTGGGGCCGGCTGGCCCTCCCTGTTCAGAGTGGGGATGGGCCGATAGGGGGTAGGGCCGGGGGGGCCTGCGGGCAGTTGGCTGACCACTCCCACCCCCTGGTCCAACTTCTGGTCAAGGGGACAATTTGCATAGTTAGCCTTTTATTATATAGGATATTTATTTATTGGAAATTAAAACTAAGAACATTAACTAGTATTAAAAAAACAAACCCATGATGTGTTGTTGAATTTTTGTAAAAATATCTGTATTTCCCAAAGCAAATATAGTGGGAAGGGTGACTTTTGTTCCACATTTCTGCCAACCTCTTTAACCTCTGGCTTGATAGAAGACAGCTGGATTTGCACATCTGCTGCTGCATTCACTCTCTTCAGACACTGTTTTGGTTGAAGCCTAAGGAGAAAATCGGGCCTCTTGTGACTATTCTGCATGACCACCTCAAAACTTTCCAAGTGTCAGTTTCTTAAAAGTTAAGTGCAAGGTGGAAACAGAAATCACATCAATGAACTTCTAGTATTCCGCTACATTAAAATCCATTGGTCTATCGTGCCCTTTAAAGGAACAGTTTTGTGATATCATGCATTGGTCATTTGGTGATATTGATTTGCTGAATTATACAGATCTCCTAAATATTGTCTTGTTTCATGATAGAGTATCAAAGATTTCACTTGTTCCTATCACCAACTAGTCTTAGAAAAGTCTTTGAGTATGAGGAAGATGTCACTGGTGAATACAACTTTTCTAAAATTCTAATTTTTGCTTGAGGACTCAAATTTTATCATTGCCAACAAATAATGTCAGTTATTTTCCTGGAGGTGACTCACTCAGTTCATTTTTGAGAAAATGTGTGGCAAACATTCAATATTCTGAAGGACCACAGTTTATCTGTCAGTTTTCTCTCAAGCAAAAATGGATTCCATGAAGAGTTGTTCAGCTCGCAAGTTCTTTCTGTGTGCTCCCCATACAGTCATAACAGAATATTAAAAATATATGTTCTTGAAGGCTGAGATTAAGAAAATTAATAGTTTTTACTGCCTTTATCAAGGATATTTTTAAGTGAAATTGGCTTTTTTCACTGAAAGTGCATGGTGCCACTGCTTTGGATCATGTTATGTAAGCTTTAATATCTTAATGTTAGTAAAACAGGTTTGACCATATGGCCTCCCCGCTTCTGTCCTCCCCCCCCCCCTCTGCCCCGCACAAGATTCCTGGGGATTCCCCTGAGAGTGGATAACACTCTAAGAAACACTGGTGGACAAGATATAGGCTTTGAAAAATGAGTCAAACTTAGATAGGATAAGATAAGGAAGAGAAGACATATCAACACAGTAAAACATGAGGTGTATCTAAGGGACCGTGGGTAGGATATAGGTTTGGTTCAAAGAGAGAAAAAAAGCAGAGACAGATAAGGCTGAAAAGATACTGTGAAAGGCCAGGCATGCCTTCATGATGAACAATTAATTCTAAACCAGACAGGGAGAGACCAGGGTGAGTGGATTTTGGGTTTGTTTTTGAAAGTTGTAGCTTCAACCTATATAAAGATAAAGCTGGCCACATTTACATTTACTAGTTATAAAATAAAAACAATAGCATAGCTGCTTTTCTTATAAGGAATATTTAGGGAATGAAAAAATACACATGTTGTCCTAATAATTAAGCTACACAAAGGCGGTCCCCATTTCATTTGGACAAATGAAGCCAAAAAGTTAAGTAACTTCCCAAGGGATGTGACTTTCATCTCTGATTTTGTAACCCTTCATATTGCCACCCATTATCTCAAGGCATTTGGGGACAGTCTGAGAATAAATTTATCAACCACATGTATATCTATATCTACATATCCCCTGCAGTCTTTGAAAAGAGGGCACATAATGGGGTCATATACACAAATAAATGTTAACTCTAAAGAGACTGCATAGTTTGAATATTTTCTTCCCTTCAAGAACTATTTTTTTTTGTAATTCTCATTTGAGAATATTTTTTCCCATTGATTTTTAGAGAGAGTGAAAAGGAGGAATGGATGGAGGGAGGGAGGGAGAAAATCAATGTGAGTGGGACACAGCTAGGGGATGAAACTTGCAAATCAGGTACATGTCCTTGACTGGGAATTGAACCTGTGATCCTTTGTGAGCAGGCGGGCAGATGCTCTAACCACTTAGCCACACTGATCAGAGCTCAAGAACGAATTTAAATAATTATAGGTTAAGCTGATTAATAGGAGTAGTATGTTAGCTGATAGAGATTTTGTTAAGACATAACATGTGAGGAAAACCAACATTTGAAAGTGACTGCTAAGCTTCATTAGAGTACTGATTAGATACAAAGACCTTTTAGTTCTTTTTACTTTTTTACTTTTTATTATTTTTTAAAAGTATTTTTATTGATTTCAGAGAGGAAGGGAGAGGGAGAGAGAGAGAGAGAGATACATCAATGATGAGAGAGAATCATTGATCGGCTGCCTCCTGCACACCCCCAACTGGGGATCAAGCCCACAACCTGGGCATTGGCCCTTGACTGGAATTGAACCCAGGACCTTATGGTCCACAGGCCAACGCTCTATCCACTGAGCCAAACCAGCCAGGGCTAGTTCTTATTTTTAAATAACAGATCAGTAAATGAAGGAGGAAAAGCAATTCAAAATCATAGTCTGACGACATCTTCTTTCACTCAAGAAAAGAAGGATGCTACACCACCATCTCAACATGGCTTGTTCTTCCAGCACTTGGACCTGGCTCCTTTAAATACCCACATTTTGTTATACACGCTGGCACACACACCAACACATACACACACATTCCTCTACCCTCCCTGTCTTATGGTATGCTTCTCTTCCCCAACGTAAATAAGTAAATTATCTGTTCAATTTGATGGTTGGAAATTTTTTTGTTGACATTTTAAAAGAAATTGTCAAAATTATTTCAAATTAATCCCAATATAGAAGTTTTACTACATAATAAAAATGTTACTAAATACAGAATAAATCTATTTATTATTTATTCATTTCTTGGTAGGATAGGGGCCAGAGAGTATAATACAGTTCAAATAAAGTAGCTACCTGGCTTGACAAAAAATAAATACTTGCTAAAGATGGAAAATTATGAACATTGAAAACAAACGGGCAAAACATCTTTTAAATTTCATAGATTTTGCATTTTAAAACTAAGTTCATCAGAAACTATGCTTTTTGTTTACATTGATACTTAACTGCATTTTGGCTTAAATTATAACTGGTAATAATTTATCCCTTTGTATAAAAAATAACATTCTATATTTTAGATTAAAATTGTACAATATTAAAAAGCTTATAAAGTAAATTGCAAACAAAACGTGAAGTCATATCTATGTTTCTGACATTGGGAGTTATTACAATTACTTTGTTATAAAATGGCAGACAGCCTGGCCAGAGTGGCTCAGTTGACTGTCCTGTGCACCAAAAGGTTGCTGGTTCAATTCCTGGTCAGGGCACAAATCAGCATTGCAGGTTGATCCTCGGTTGGGCACAGATGGAAGGCAACAGATCAATGTTTCTCTCTCACATCGATGTTTCACCTTCTCTAAGCATGTCCTTAAGTGAGGAATAAATAAACAAATAAAATGCCAAACATGGGTAACATATCCAAGTTATAGGACAGTTATGATGAAATAAAAGTATATTTTAAAATTAATAATCTAGTAAATTTTTTCCTTGCATATAAAGCAAACATCACCATATGACTAATGTGCCCAATTCCATGGGGTTCTGAATGTGTGAATCTTGTTGCTGTGCTATTTTTTTTTGAAATAGGTGACTTCAATCCAAATCTCTCTGTTTCTGGACACTACAAATATATAAAATTTTAGAGAGTAAAACATTTTTATTGAAAGGTAAGCTCTATAAGCATATTCATAATACAAAAGTGTGAGTTTCTGCCATCAGGAGATTTGATTGGCTGCAAACTTACTGAGTTTTACTCACGTGCTAATGTGTCATGGCTAGGAAAAGGCTTTTAATGACCAGAAGGCTTTCTTCTTTGCTTTAGTAGGGTGGCTGGATTAAGCACAAGACTAAGAAGATTATAACTTTGCTTCAATTACTCTTTTTCAGCATGTCTTGTGTCAACAATTGAACTATCTATTAGACACAGGCAGTAAAGAGGCTTTGGCAGGTTAGAAAGCTCTCAGAATCTCTTGATGGTGGCTGGGAGCTGGTAATTTTGAAGTAACTGGTTTCCTAAATGTGCTGCTATTGTAGGTTCTCAAGTCTCAGTAATGTCCAGAAGGAACCCAACAGGCTATGCTCTGTCTCTCTGTTCATACTCATCTAATAAATAGTATGTCACTCTGATCCTACCAGAAAAATCAACAGGCTGCCTGAGAAAATACCTTTCTTGCTGTGCATTTTACTTGATTATAGTGTTTTAGGAATTAAAAGCTAGAAAGTAATAAAAAAAAAACCAACAATGACCTGTCCACATTTGGATCTTTTCTTAGAATTTTAGGTGCAGCAATATCTTAAAATATATATATAAATGGTTATTTGCTAAAATAAAAAACCAAGTAACTTTTGATATATATATACAAACAAAAGGAGGAGAAAGAAGCTAAAACCTGAAATACATACTTACCATTATTGTACATAATATCACTTTAAGTTGGTAAGATCAGATCATTTACAGTATACCTATACTCCTGAAAACCCTTCAGTTAGTCACTGCTTACATGGCTTCTGCCACATCTGAATTATGATCCTTTGCAACAACAGCTCTGACTGGACGAGGGGATGTATATATTCCTCAGTGCCCTGTCTTCCCAGGCTGGCTTTATTCTATTTAAATGCTGTGAATGAGGAATGTTTACACCAAGTGTATTAGCAGTCAGTAATGCTGCAGTTACTGATAAAAGGCTATAGAATGATATAAGACTGCTTAATTAAACGTTTGTTAAATAGAAGAGAGGCTGGCAAGAAAGAATTGAAGAACTTGCTTCTTTGCTTACAAAATGAAATGCCCATTATATCAAAAAGGAATAATTCCAAAACGTTAAAGCACATTATCTTCTTAAGTCTATTTGTCTTCGAAAATTTGTATAGCCATTAAGTGAAATTTATTGTCTTTTCCCAAAGGGCATAATACTGCTATGTACCTTTACTTAAATATTATGAGGGTTAATTGAGACTGCTCTCATGGATAGATTTGTCTGAATGTGAAAAGTCTGTATTATTTATTTAATCCAATCCTCACCCGAGGATAGATATATATATTTTTAAAAGTATATATATATATATATATATATATATATATATACTTTTTAAAATATATATATTTTATTGATTTTTTTTATAGAGAGGAAGGAAGAGAGTGAGATAGAGCTAGAAACGATGAAAGAGAAACATCGACCAGCTGCCTCTTGTACACCCCCTACTGGGGATGTGCCCGCAACCAAGGTATTATACATGCCCTTGACCGGAATCGAACCTGGGACCTTTCAGTCCGCAGACCGACACTCTACCGCTGAGCCAAACCGGTTTTCGGCCGAGAATATATTTTTTTAATTGGTTTTTAGAGAGAGAGGAAGGTGGGTGGGGAGAGAGAGAAAGAAGACATCGAGGAGAGGAGAAACACTGATTGGATGCTTCCTGTACACAGCCCAACCTGGGATCGAACCCAGCCCACAACCTAGGTGGCCTGACTGGGAATCAAATCTGCAACCTTTTGGGTTATGGGATGATGCTCCAATCAACTGAGCCACCCGGCCAGGGCAAGAGTCTGCATTCTTAGTGTTTACCACAAACCCAACGCAGCTCATGGTCCGTCTGCAGGTCAGTCAGCTCCACAACAGTTCTCCAGCTGCACTGGCAGGCATACGCCCGCGCTCCTTTCTTCTTCACCAACTTTGTTTTTAATTTGTGGAATTCTGGCATGTTGTTCCTATTAGTGAAACATGAATATTTTAGAACAGTGGCCTTTCCAGTGCTTAATGACTTAAAAAAAAATGCTAGTTGCTTTATTTCCCCATCTTTATTAACAACAGAACATTCAACAAACTTTGGTTCCCTTCACACAAACAATAGCAGATATGCTTCCATGTTCTTCCTGATGGTATTTCCTAGCACTTTTCAATGGCATTTCTCTAGGCCTGTTTATTAAGGCTGTTTAGAACATAATGACCTAAAAGAAGCTGAAAAATTATGATTTGTTTTATCAGAGATGACATGATATGAGAATTCGGTGAATCGCTTCTCTGACTCTTGGCTCAGAGTAAGTGAGAACAGAGTGAAAAGGGTGGTGGTGCATCTCCTACCGCAGATACATGCTACACCAAATGCTAAAAGCCAACAACATGGCAAATGGAGGGAGGGGGTATAAGAGGCATAAAAGTAATATTCTTTTGATGAGTTAAGTACAGAAATTTTTCATTACTAGAGAAAAAGTGCCTGTTATTTCTATGTGTTGAACTGACATATCTTTTGTTTTTTTAATGATATGCTATTTACTTATAGTGTCAGCAATAAAATAATACTTAACCTACATTAAGTGTCAGTGTTAAAATAATTAAATCAATTGGCGGGACCATCATGAAAATGATAACCATCTGATTGATGTAATTATACAAAAAGACTAGAGAAGTTAATTTAGGTTTAATTAATTGAAAGTAAATTATGATTTTCAAGATAATCCATGTACTGAATCTATCTAACTATTCTATGGCAGAAGAAAAATAGGAACATTCAAAATAAAATTATAAATGAGAAGTAAAATGATGAAACACAGTATAAATATTACCAAAAAGAGATATAGTCCTATCTTTCTATGTCACTGCAGGAGAAGGCAGGCTACAAAGTGCCCTCTGGTGGCCAGTGGACATCACACTCAGTCCTGTTTTGTACAAAATCCAGGCACAATTTTGAAGGTTAGAACCTCACAAAACCTGAGAGAGATTTTCCAGGTCAACTGTCTGATTCAAGAAACTGAGACTTTGACCAGCTAAGTCTTAGCTAAGGTTATAGTGAGCCAGAGGAAGAAATGAATCGTCTAAGTTTTGTCAGACAGAAAAAAAAAAAAGTCCACAAAACTCTATGTGTTTAATGAAAACTAAAAAGTTAAATGAAGAAAAACAGTTTTTTATTCAATATGCAATATAGTTTGACAAATTTAACATCTGATACCTGATTGAATTAAAAAAAAAAAAAAAGAGTTTTTAGAGAGAGAGGAAAAGAGGGAGGAAGTGAGGGAGAGAGACAGAGAGAAATATGTGAGAGAGAGACATCAATTGGTTGCCTACTGTACCAATCTGATTGCGGATCAAACCTGCAACCTGAATATGTTCCCTGACCAAGAATCGAACCCGAGACCTTCAGGTGCACAGGATGATGCTCCAATACTGCGCCCGCCCGTCAGGCCAGAAAGTGGCTGAGTCCTTACTTAGGGGCTTTAGGATGCCAGAGCTCTGACTCCTGGGACAAAGGTAGTGGTTAGCAGCCGGGGACTCTGGCTTGGCCACAGATCTGGGGGCTGCTGCTCACCTGGAATCTGATGTGGGGACAAATGATGTCAGAGGAAACAGAATCCAAAAGAGCCAACAAAAGCCCTGTCTGTAGCCTTTCCCAGACACCCGTTCTCGCTTTCCTGGTTTGAGCTGGGATGTTCCTGAGGATTCTGAGGGTTCTGAGCTCTCTCCAGGAGGTCTTCTGCTTTAATGCCCCAAACCTCACATTCCCTCACCCCCTGCCTCTGACAATGATTGGCAGTGCCTGTGCCTGACCCTGTGTAAAAATAAAGCTTCTCTTTCTCATTAACAAAACAAACAAACCAGCAAGCAAAGCAAAGCCACGCTACCACAGATCTAGAGTTCTTAACTGAGACGCTGCAAGTTCAAGTACCAACTAAATGACCAAAAAGCTCACTTAATGCCTCTGCTCACCCGTTTTGCTATTACATGCATTCTATTATTCTGTACAAATTGCTGGTGCATCTTGGTGCCATATAGGAATTATTAATCACTCCGTAGATGAACCAGAAGGAGTACCTACAGAGGAGTTAGAAAAGTCAGAAAAGGCTAAACAGACCTGAAATGAAAAGTTAACTTTTCTAATAAGGGATTAAAGGTAGGCTAACCTGACCTGGGATTTTGGGAGATCAGTAGGCTTTATTTGGATTGAGGAATGTGAAACCTCTTAAATTATATTTTTTCTGTATATTTGTACATTTCCACTTGCTTTTGTGTGTGGAGAAGATGCAAAATTTTCATAAGATTTTAAAAAACAGTTCTTGAAGTGAAAAAATTTAAAAATGATTCCATTAGAGGAGACTCCTAGGGATTTACATGAGAATGAGAATGGATGTGGGAAGAAGTCTGGAAAACTCCTTTTTCTTCTGCTAAGGGAGAGTGCTACAAGTATTATGATTATTTGTATCCTAAGAGACAGTCTTTGTCTAGGCACAGGTTAGGGAAGCCAAAAATGAATGATATGTGCGCTATTAATTTTTAACTCTTTTTATTTAAAAAAAGCGAATGCATAGTTTATTTTTATAACTTATCTTAAAAACATCAGGTTGTCAGATATATAAATTGCAAAAGTATGAGTAAGCCTATTTAAACTGCAAGGAGAGAGGCAGACATGCATCAACCTGAGATTTAGATCAAATGGTAAGGTGTCCCAGGAGGTGGAGAGCTTGCACAAATTAATAGGGAAGGGGAGTACTGAGGAATTTGATGAAGCTAAAATCTTGTGGAGGAGGAAGGAATACTGTGGAAAGACAAAGATGGGTGATGGGTAGGGGCTAGATCCTGGAGGGTCTTGGGTGCCATACTAAGGAATTCAGACATGATTCTATAAGAAGTAGTGTTCTGGGTAGGAGAATGGCACATTCTTAGTTATGCTTTAATTTTCAACAAGAAAAATGTGGTCTGAAAGAAGATACTAAAGGCAGAAAAGTCAGTGAGAAGGCTATATCTATATTCTTTAATATATATATATTATGGTATATAATTATTCCTTTATTATATATCATATATTATAATCATATATATATGATTTCAGAGAGGTAAAAATATCAATGATGAGAATGATGAGAATCATTGATTGGCTATCTCTTGGGGATCAAGCCTGCAACCTGGGCATATCAAGTCTCCCCCCCCCCAGGAATTAAACCGTGACCTCCTGGTTCTTAGGTAGATGCTCAAGGATTGAGCCGCACCGGCTGGGCAAGGAGGCAATATCTAGATTCTTGTCCAGAAGCAACATGTTTTGCCTAAGCTGATAGCAGACAGATGGAAAAAAGGAGATGGGTGAGAAGAATATTGAAGAGGTGGAGGCCACACAATCTGGCCAAGTCCATAAGAGACATTACAGCAAAATAGAAATATAACGTTACACTTGGTACATTTTCACAGTGAGATTCTTTAGAAGCATACCTGAAAAACAGATAATCGCATGATTTGTCCCACATATAGTCATCATAGCTTACTACCCAGAAATCACACGCTGTACAACGCAGATGGTCACATGATCTGTTTAGAGAGAAATAACTATACATTAAAGATTATTGGTATGTTTAAATATAAAAATGTGATTTATTCATAGGACATACCATATACTACAGAGTACTGAGTTAACAACAAAAAAGTAAAGATTAAACTGATTGTAAATTTTTATACTAAAGGAATAATTATATACCTAAAATTTCAGGTTCAACTTCTACGCGTACCTATTTTACTAAGATCTTATACACCGATACATTTATGCACATACGCATATTGTACAGATAGAAAAGAAGGGAAACGGATACGTAGATCTTTTAGTTCAATGGTTTTCAAGTTGTGCCGGAGGGAAGTCTTCCCTTAACTTCTTTAAGTTGCTTCCTTTCCTAATAAAATTTTCAAGAATGCCTTTATCACAGAATCTGCCACATTATATCAGAATGAATGTCTCCTCTTAAGCTACGTAAGTGCTAGGACAACATCCTACTTTTTCTGTTTCCCCAGTGGTTGGCATTAATGCATTCATCCACTCATTAAAAAACACACAAAACAGGCAAAAGTAGGTTTATAGTGAGAACACAAAACTGTTTACTTTTATATTATTATTTACTAAGAATTATATTTATTATTTTCCACATAAACAATCGTAAACCTAATTTGCTCCATTCTGTATTTACTGAAAGTCTACTATGGGCTAGTAAGATTTTATCCTCTTGGAGCATAGATTCTAATGAGAAAAGAAATAAACAGCACTCATCACAATGTTAGAAGATAAAAAAATGCTTCAAATGAAATAGAGCAGGAAGAAACAAATTGAGAGGACTGGAGGGAGTGGGTTGCAATTTTAAATAGAGTGGGCTGCAAAGGTGTATCTGAGCCATTTAAATGGAAGTGGGGTTAAGAGAAAGGAGGGAAAAAGGCAAAGAAGCAGTGAAGAGCAAAGCGATGATGCAGGAAAGAGGGCAGAACTGCTGGAACTACGCTTAGTGGATATCTGAGGAATTCAAATGCCACCCAAATCTTAAAACTCACATACTACACGTAACTTTAGGAATAAAATGATAATAAATGACAAAACTTAGGAATTTCTGCAAACAATTTAATTTGTATAATAATTGTAACTTACTTTAAAGAATATTGTTTGCAATATTTAAAAACTAGAATCAATCTATCTATCTATCTATCTATCTATCTATCCACATTTGATCACCTACAAATTAAAAGGAAATAAGAGTTTTTAAGATGCCAAGAACAGGAGCATTTGACATCTGGTTTCCAGGGATGTCATCAGTTAGGTTCAAATAAACTCTTAGAGAAATTTTCAAAAAACAAACAAACACACAAAAAAACAAACAAACCCCAAACAAAACAAAGTGAAAAATAGTGGGAGAAAACATTTCCAGAACAAGGTCCAATACTTATACTATTCAGATACTATTCAGAGTGTTTACAAATGACAAAGACAAAGCTTAAAAATATATTCAATCTCACTAACACAGGTATTGTAGAATGGTAGGTAAGAGCGTAGACTCTGACACAAATTGCCCAGGTTCAACTACTGATTCTACTACTTTCCAGCTGAGCAATTACAGCCAAGTAACTTAACTTCTCTCTGTAACTGTTTCCTTGTATGTAAAATGGGGATACTAATAACTTTTATACATCTTTTAGAATTACAATGAGGACCTAATGAGTTAATATTGTTAAAGTGCTTATAACAGTGCCTGTTTGTTTAAAAGGTAAAATCTAACAAATAATTAAAATTTAAAGAAACAACAAAATACATTTTCAACCAAGTTCCTCAGATATTTCTGGTGGGTAGGTGAACTTTGGGATTATTTTAAAGTTAAAATTATTCTTTTCTGTTGCACTAGCAATTCCATTTTGGGAAAGCTATTGCATATAAATAAAAGCATCAACATAAGCATATATAATATCTCAAGAATTTCCACTATAGTATTGTAGAAGTGGCAAAAAACAAGATACCACTTGGATACCTACCCAAAAGGGAAAAACAATGAATAACATACAGTATAGTTATACTATGGAATATTAGGCAGCTGATAAGGAGAAATAATTTTTCCACCGACCTTGAAAGATGCCGAAAACAAGGTGCACAGTAACATATATAGCATGACCCTATTTTTGTAAAACAACAAACAAAAAAATCCCTATAAAGGTGTTTATAAGGTCAGAACATGGAAAAGAATGTAGACAGTAATATACTATCAAGCTCACACTGGCTGTCTCAGGAATGGTGGGAATGGAGGAAGGAAGGAGATTATCCTTCCCTTTATACATTTTTCAAGTTTGTTTTTATAATAAGGATACAATCCTTCTGTAATTAAAAAATATTAAAGTAAAAGCCAAATATTTTTCACTTATTTTCCTTGAAATTCAAATATGGTAACTTCAAGATTGCAATTTTTTTTTTTTTTGGCTTACAGATTCCTTTGAGAATAAATGCTTTCTATGTCTAAAATTATGTTTAATCATAACAGTAACTAAACACTCAAAATCTATACAAGTTTCATAAGTCCATATTTTCTTTTAAACTGTGAGCAATTTATGAAGTTGTACTTGTATATATGGAAATTCAACACAATTATATTCGTACACATTTGAACTTGGATTTTGAATGTACAAAGAAAATGCAAAATGGTTCCCAAAGCTGCCATAACGTGCTTTCTTATGCATATGTAGTTTATTACATGATTGCACAGAGTGTTAACTTTAATGCCTTAATACATATGTGCAATTTGGCTGAATTATTGCTGTTGTGGGAACTATAATTTTGAATTTCCTGACGTTTTGTCTGTGTAAAATCTCAACCATAATGTTACATACAGCTTTTTAATTTAATTTAAAATTTAGTAGTTTATTCAAATCTATTCACACTACCACAGTTTCCTACAAACACTGTCCTTTGAGAAAAATAAACTCACTTGCAGCTCAGAAATCATTCTGCTGCTACGATTCACTTTGTTAGATCATAATTAGTACCAGTCTATGCAATAATTCGGCCTTGCAAGTAGTTTAAAAAATAATTAGGAGTAAAATTCGATTTGGCTTGAAAATAATGTCTTAGTCTTATCTTTGGCTTATTAATGCCACCACGCTTCCTGCTACTACTCTTTCTCCCTTCCCCACCAAGGAGGTAAAAACTCAAATCTTTACACTCTAAAATCATTAAGTATTACTTCTAAGCCAGAACCCTACCCAGAAATCAAACAAATAAAACACATGGAGAACAGGCAGAATAGACTCAATTTCACTTATGCCCTGGACATGTAAATCAGTGCATATAGTCAGGGTTTAAAAATATTTATCGTCCATAACTACGTATAACTCCAGCATACCTAAAATAAAGGAATGGCCTGACTGGTGTGGCTCAGTGGTGGAGTGTCAACCTATGAACCAGGAGGTCACACTTCAATTCCCAGTCAGGGCACATGCCTGGATTGCAGGCTCGATCCCCTGTGTGTGTGTGTGTGTGTATGTGTGTGTGTGTGTGTGTAGGCAGCCAATCAATGTTTCTCTTCCATCACTGATGTTTCTATCTTCCCCCCTTTCCCTTCCTCTCTGAAATCAATAAAAATATATTTAAAAATAATGTAATGATTCCAATGAAAGATAAATCTTCACTTTTCTTTTTCTAAAATATGGAGGCAATTGAATGTGAAGGTGTCATCAACAGTTTTGTCCCTTTGTCCAGCCAATCAATAGGATGTTCATTATTTTAAAGATGTTTATGATGGAAATTTTCCAAGTACGGCCCAATATAATCTTCTGCCCGGACCCTGTGGTTTTCAGTAAAATCCTGTCAGATCTACACAGTAGTCTAGGGACTCTTGATATTTGGACAGATGGAAAAGAACAGCAGCTGCAGAGGCAAAATCAGCCACGGTTCTCCCCTCTTACATATATTACCTGGCCTTCCACAAACCGGGTTACTAGAAAGCATAATGGAGCAGGACTCAGTTACACATTTGAGTCCTTGCTTTGTGATACTCTATGTGACCTTGGGCAAGGCACATTACTTGGGAGTCATTCCTAACAATGTTCTCTTAGCCATTAAATTCACCGAATTTTGTCCATTCTAGATTCTAAACAGCTCAAATGTGACACCTTTTCCCCACAGCCACTGCCACTGCCACCACTCAGCTCACAACTACCATCATCATCTCTTTCCTGGACCACCTGTACAATACTGCCTGCTGACTGGCCTCCCTGTCTTGTCTCTCACCTTCCAATCCATTTTCTATTCAGCAGCTAAAATAACTTTCTTTAGAAACACAAATATGATTAGGTGACTCCATCTGCTAAAAACCAACCAACCAACCAACCACCACTTGCTCTCGCTGCATCTCTGACCAACTTTTTCTCAAATCTTCAGAGGACTACAGGACCACCAACAAACCGAATCTCCCTCTACGACCTCTCATTCTTCCCCCCACTCTCTGCACTGCAGCTCCCCAGCTGCTCTTTGCTCCTCCAACACTCTTCCCAGCTCAGGGGTCATCTAACAGGGCATATCCTCTGGCCCCAACGGTCCCCTCTCTCCGCTTAACTTCTACTCCTTTTTCATACTCTAGGCTTATTCGATGTTACTTGCTTAGGGAAAAATTTTCCAACCCTTCATATTAACTGGGGTGCCAATGATCTATGCTTACAGTATTCGGTACTTTCCCTTCACATTGCAGAGCATGTGAAGATTAAACAGCTATTTTTGGAGTCATTTGTGTAAGTCCCTCTCCTCATCTAGACAAAGCTCATTGCGTGCGGCTTCTCGAGTGTCTCACCACCTGGCTTCCTCTGCCCAGAAGGAAAACGCAAGGCAGACGCTCCCTCTCCCGGTGTCCCGTGGGAGCCATGCGGGGACTGGCGTGACCCAGGCCCTTCACGTGGGGCGCAGAGAGAGGTGTCCCGACAATGAGCAGCAGAACCACCATCACAGCTTTCAACTGAGATCACCTCAAAATAAGATTTCAGTAACGTGCTCTTGGATTGGCTATGAGAATATACTTCTGATTATGAAACGGATCGATGCCAAGATGACTGTTTTAAAAACAGGGTATCCAATTGGAAAACCTCGTAGGAAAGTATATTTCTGACATCCCACCTCTGTGAAGTAGCTGTTCCAATTCCACACGGAGCAGCGCTTCCACCAAGGTACACGGGGCTGCAACTAGATACAGTCAACCAACGGGAGAGAAAGAAAATCCCAGGAAGAAATAGGAGACGTTAGTGAGGCTTTGTGAACTCTACAGTCTTATAATCAAATTGTACATTTTCCGGAGCAAGCCGACCATTTTAAAGAAGAGGTATTTATCCCGGGATCGCTGCTTTATTGGATATAACCTGTATGTGCAGGAACCCTCCAAGAGTTAGAATGAGTCACAGAAAAACGTGTTTGCCAAATAACGTGAGGGACAAAGTAAATACTGAAGACTATAACAGAACATTAATTTCGAGAAACTGTTCACACTTTTTTTCCCCCCCCCACCTGGCAGAAAATTATTTACAATGGCAATAATCTCTCATTCACGAAGAGGTCATAGACCACGGGAACATTAAAGATATTGCTATTGGTCTTTCTCCTGAAAGCCAACCGGGCCTTTGTTGTTCAATGTCACTGTTGTTTAAGATAATAAAGTCTACTAGACTATGCTCATAGTGTTTGCTCACCAGTGTGTGTAACTCACCAAAGCAATCTCAGCTTACCTTTTACTGAGGCCTTGAATGGAAGCTCTGACAGACGTGTTACCTGAAGATTTAGATTTTAATTTCTGTTAAAAAAACAAAACAACGAAAAGGCCAAGAGTAACTTAGATAATTGTAACGTGAATATTTCGTAACAAGAATATTTTTTAAATGACTTAAAATAAAAAATTTGCATCACTTTAAAGTTTCTGCAATAAAAATAATGATCAAAACCTTTTTCTTAAAGGCAAAAGGGAAGTTGACCTCCCTGAGGAATTTGCAAATTACTCTGCTTTTAGTCTAGGAAATTGATATACTGCCATTATTAGCGTGCTAAGATTTAGAGTCACTTTATAATTCTTCAATTAATACTAGAGTTCAATGATTTAATATGAAGGACCTTCTATTTAAAACCTCATCCTGGAAAAATTCAATTGAGGAAAGAAAAAACCCCACACACCTCAGACTCATTTTTAAAGGCTGTGAATAGTACTCACCTGAACTAAAAATAAACTAACTAAACTCCTGGGTAACTTCAGGAATATTAATTTTGATCAAGTGGAAAGATATCAACCAATAGGCATTTGAGGCGACTGTAGACCTACCTAGCCACAACCATACAGTGGTTCCTATATGGTTACCTAACATCGTCATCATTAACGGGCATTTATTAAGTGTTAACTGGTGTATCTTACCAAACAACATAAACCCACATACTAAGACCACCGCCAAGGAGAGGAAGTGAGACGGAGAAAAGGCAATTTAAACCATGCAGCAACATGGCTTCATTTGACCTGGAAGGTGAGGAAATTTAATGGAGGCAAAAATATTTCATTTCACTATTTCTTTAACTCTTCTATTTGATGTTAAACAGAACTGGGAAAATTTGGGGCACATGTCTCAAAAATAATCATGTGCAGGAGTCTCCTCCTGTTTCTCCAGATGTGTCATGTGCCGTCCAGGTTCATGCTTGTGACCGGGAGCTGGCGAACTGTGATGTGTACTGTGGTTTCTGGGCTCTTCTGAGTGGGCCTGAGAGCAGTTCAGAACCAGCAGAAGGGGCCAGTGGTGGGGGAGGGAGCAGTGCTCTCCGGAGCATGATCTGGCCTCTGGGACGAGGTGGGCATGGATGGGCCGTGTGGGACACTTCCTTTCCTTATCCAGGCGGTGTTTTACATAGACCTGATCTCTTGCAGGCTAGAAAACTGGATATAACCACTTAAAAAAGCAGCATGCAGAAGAACGTAAAAGTTTATTTCCTCATGATTGTAAGAGTTACTTTTAATGCAAATTTGTATACCTTTTTTTGTTAATCCTCACCCAAGGATAATTTTTCCATTGAGTTTTAGAGTGGGAGGGAGGGAGAGAGGAAGAGAGAGGATGAACCATTGATGACAGAGACACATTGATCGGTTGCCTCCCAGATTCGCTCCATCTGGGACGGGGATTGAACCTACAAGATTTTGGTGCTTGAGGTGACGCTCTTACCACTGAACCCACCACTGGCCCGGGCTCAGATCTGTCTATCTTAAAGCCAAGCCAGAGACATAGTTCCTTCTGCTTTTGAAATTCCCTGAACGGAAGAAATAGTGCCTCACATACAGATATGCATCTGTAAGTGTTTAATTATTAATTGCTCGGGTGATCAATGAATCCCAACAAGAACATTTAATGTAGTTTATTTTTTCTACTACTAATTAAATCAGCATAGCTATTTGGCACTTACGATGCATTCTTGTTCACAGACTATGCAACACCATTGCTACTGGGTTGACATGTAGGCCATTAGCTTATTAATGAGGCCATCAGCTTATTAATAACATTGGATTAATTGAAAATGTTAAATTTAGAGAACGAAAGATAAGATCTATACTAGCCATTTTATTCCTTGTCTGGTTAACAAATACATAGTTGGCCCATGTCCATAGCCTTAACACCAGCACAGCCTAGTGATTTTCAGCCCACTGTCTTGCTTTAATCTTCCCTACCCTTAAAAAACTTCGTTATTATATTTATCTTTTTAGATTTTTTTTTTCTTTGTGGTCCTTGTAGCTTAAGATTTTCATTTGGCCTCTTTATTTAAAATCTAACAAATATGCCCTAGCCGGCTTGGCTCAGTGGATAGAGCATTGGCCTGTGGACTGAATGGTCACAGGTTTGATTCTGGTCAGGGCATGTGCCTGGGCTGCTGGCTTGATCCCCATTGGGGGGTGTGCAGGAGGCAGCTGATCAATGACTCTCTCTCATCATTGATGTTTCTCTCTCTCTCTCCCTTCCTCTCTGAAATCAATAAAAATATATTAAAAAAAAACCTAACAAATATATTTTATAATGACCAACAAGATAAAAATTAAAGGTATATAAATGCTCATACACTACTGGTAAGAAGAATATAACTGACACAGCACTTTGGAAAACACTTTGGCAATGGGTAAAAAAATTGAAAATGAGCACACCTCATAATCTAGCAATTCCTCTTCAAGGTTTATACATCCTAGAGAAACTCCTGTACGTGAGTAAAAGAAGAATGCCAAGATATCTGAAGAGGCATTTTTTGTAAGAGTGACAACTGGGCATAATTTAAATGTCCATTACCAGGACAGTGGGTAAACTGTGGTAGAATTACGAAACAAGGTACTATTCAGCAATGAAAATGACTTTTGGTTAATACCTATGTAATAAAAGTATACAAGTATGGGCAGAAAGGTTGGTGGTTACCTCTGGGTAGGAAGGCAGTAAGTAGGATTTGGAGTTTTTTAAACTATAGTTATAATTTTTATTTAAAAAATTAAAGCAAATATGGCAAAACATTAATATATTATATGTTCAGTGTGAACATATTTTATGTTCATTGACGGTTATGTTATTTTATAAGCTTTTCATAAAGCTAATGTAGATACACAAGCAATTAGGGGTAAATATTTAAAATATTAACAATTTACTCATGGGTTATGGGATAACAGCAATGGCATTGCATCTGAGATGCTAAGCACATTCCTGTGTGAAAGCTGTTTGTTTTCAGCCTTTCAGAAGTGTTCTTATAGAATCTATATACAGGGAACCAACTTCAACTATGAGTTGCCTTTTATTCTAGCAGCTTTTCTAATTTCGCATTCTTGCTGAGAAACGAATAGAAAAAAAAATGAATAGAAATGAATAGGAAAAAAAAACACACTGAGAGTTTCTAATATTTTATTTCTTCTACAACTCTATGTGGAATAATTTATTTAGATGATAGTATTTCTCAGAATGCAAAGAACTATAGATACTTGTGCATTCTGTAAGTTTTCAGACTATTTTAAATATCTTAAAAATGGAAATATTGCATATTTATAACACTTGACTTACAAAGGATTTTTTATCAAAGTTGGGATCTTCAAATATTTCATTAATAAGACTGTCAAGATCATCTTCTTTTTTAAATCTTTCTGTTGATCTGAAAAATAAAACAGCTGAAGCTTAAGAACATATAAATTCAGCCAGTAACAGAAGAGTTTTATTTAAATAAAGTCTATTATTAGAGTTGATAACAGGGATAAATGCGACATTAATTTTTTTTCTCGATGGACACAACCTAAGTTTGTTGACAAAAATGTAAGCTGTCAATTATAAATTTACATACTTAAGACATTTAAAGCTATACATTATATTCAAGAAAAAGTTTTTAAACATCGACTGCTTATTTAAAGAGCAGTTGTTTCTGGTATCCAGATGTACCATGGCCATTTATTATTTGCAGAGCTATCATTTAAAGAGATAATTTCAGTATTTTAACTCATAAGGAAAAGATACAGGCTGCTTCACTATACAATGGACAGGGAATCTCCTGTTAATAAATTCATAATATAAATCAGTTCCTAACTTTTCGATATCAATTTTGGCTCGGGAAGATTTTTTGAATGTTTGACATTATAGATCCGGTAGGGATTGCATTTGGTATTATGTTTAGGCCTTGGCTGCTGTTGCATAATTTACCTTTACAACTACATTGTCAAGGGAAAAGAAGTTTTAAGACATGAAAACTGTTGTGGTTTGCTACAGCTTTTACAAATGTATTACTGAAAGATCTGATGTAGTAAGGTGAGATGGGGTGCTGCTAGAAGTAATACGGATGGAGTGTAGTAGTCTAAAAGGACCTGTGGCCAAAACCGGTTTGGCTCAGTGGATAGAGCATTGGCCTGCGGACTGAAAGGTCCCAGGTTCGATTCCGGTCAAGGGCATGCACCTTGGTTGCAGGCACATCTCTGACGGGGGTTGTGCAGGAGGCAGCTGATCGATGTTTCTGGCTCTAGAGTCTATCCCTCTCCCTTCCTCTCTGTAAAAAAAAACACCAATAAAATATATATTAAAAAAGAATGCTTATTAAAAATAAATAAAAGGACCTGTGTTTAGACAGCACCCTCCTTAGCAGCCCTTTTCATTTTTAAGCAGCCTGATGCCAAGACATCCTACCCACTCTGCACCTAGTTCTCCTAAGACAAGAGGTACTGGAAGGCTCTTTGATATATCCTCTCCATTCCCTGAAGGAATGAATAAAAAGAATGAAAGAAATCGCAAGTTGATACTGCCAGGGGACAGGGAAGGCACAAAAGGATCTCCTGCGTGTGTGTGATCAATGTTCCAATGAATGGGCGATACTTGAAGAAGCATCCAATCAGATGAACGTCAGTCCACGCACCGTGGTCCATTCTGCTGGCACTACACTTATTAATTTTTTAGAATGCTGCTTAGTACTCAACTGCTTTTTAGAACTTCACGTTTCGGAACTTTGGAACCTTTTCAATGCATGTGTCTTCTGAAGGTGGATTTTTGTAAACAGCTGTACGTCATTGGAGTAAGGTGACCAGACGCCCCGATGTTAAACAATGTGTCCCTGCGGCGTCTTAAAAAAAGTCCCGATTTTCTTTGTCACTAGAAATCGGGGCTGTCCCGCCCGGTCACCTTACATTGGAGGCCAGGCTGGCAAGTTCGCTGACCGCGAAGGGGGGACATACTCGCGGGGGTCAGGCACATGCACAGCAAAGCAACCAGTGAACCGGGGCGCCTTCGAGGGGTTACCGCGGCGGCTCCCTCGGAAGGGCAATCTCCTTCAGACACAACATTTGTGTGTGTGTGTTTGTTTTTTTTTGGGTTGAGGTCGGGACCGGCGACGAAGAAGGAAGTCCTCCTTTTAGGACCACCCAGAAGGACAAGACTGGCCAATTCGAACGGTATAGTGTTTCGGATCAAAAGCCAAACGGCTTGAGATCTTTCCCCCGAATTCTCCGAGCCAAATAAACACACACACAAAATCAGCCCAAAACTACAGAACGGAATGATTTTTCTTTTTTTTTTTTCCTTCTTTTTCTTTTGGCAACAATTGTTGCAAGGATGACTCTGCCTGGGGGATGGGGTCAGAGGCAACAGCCTGACGTGCTCTTGGCGGGCGCCTCATCGGGGGTCACCGGGGGTCATCGGGGGCCCCCGATCGGTCCCCTCTCTCCCCCCGCCGCTAGGCCCCGCGGCCTCGGGTCCGGGTGGGCCGGACCGGGCCGGGCCTGGGCGGAGTCAGGCCGGGCGAGCGGGGCCCGGAACCTCCCGCACACGGAGCGGGGGAGTGCGCGGCCCCAGGGGTGGGCGCTGAGAACCGGGGCCCGGACCGGGGGGCGAGCTGGGTCCCAGGGAGGCTTCGGGGCTCGGAACAGGCTTCCCCAGAGGCGCCCACCCCTCTCTTCCCCCCGGTAACCTGAGCTTCTCTTCCGCCTCCGCTCGGCTGCGGTCGTGGCTCAGGCCGCCGCCGCCGCCGCCGGGCCGCTCCGCCAGGCCCGGTCTCAGCGGGTCTGGTCGGCAGAACTTGGACTCCACCTCGTCCAAGAGCTCGTCCAGGTCCTTCGCCATCTTGAAACAAAGCTGTGCCTCCCTCCGCTCACCTCGGGGCAGCAGCCCGACGGTTTCCAGGGGCAACGCGAGAACGCGAGAACGCGCACGCGCACGCGCACGCGCACGCGCACGCGCCCTCCCGCTCCCGCCCCCCCCTCTGCGCATGCGCGCGCGCTGTCCCTTGGCGGCGCCGGCCGGGCGCGGACGCGCTGGCGCGGAACTGAGCTCCGTGACCGCGCGTCGGTTCCCGTGGACGGAGGTGCGAGCGCTGCCTTCCTGCGCGACCTCGCGGCGCGTCGCTGTCGCTCGTTCCAGGTTGTGTCTGGCGCGTTTCGGGCCCGTCTCCCCTTCCTGGGTCCAGAGTGTCACTACACACACACATACACACACACACACACACACACACACACGCGGCTCCCGAGCTCCTTCCTCCGTCGCTTCCGGGCTTTCCCCTGGGGTCCCTGTGCTACTCCAGCCGGTCTTCCAGCCCTTGCCTCATCTGCGGGGAAAATGGGAAACTCTCCGAGAGGAAAACAAGCAATACTGGTAGCAAAAGTTCGGTTCCCGTAGTCGGCAGGATTCGAACCTGCGCGGGGAGACCCCAATGGATTTCTAGTCCATCGCCTTAACCACTCGGCCACGACTACCTCTGCTAATTTTAGCAGCGAAATCTATATGGAACCGATGCACGTGTCTGCCGCAGAGACGGTTGGATCACGGAAGAAGAACATTGTTAAGAGAACGTTTGAGTGTCCTGGCTCCGATCCTTTTAGCGTTTTGAATGGACGCTTGGAGCATCTCCCCTCCAAACGTCTCCCCTTCCTTCCATCAGAGAAACGGAGTCCATCTGTAAAGTTAGAGTTAGCAAACAGGAGAGAAGAAGGAGATCCCAGCACTACTGTCCACTTTGCTTGCACAGCGATGGAGCCATTTCCAGGAGGAAACCCGGAACGTTGGGGCGGCTGACCGACCCTGGAGCTTCCCTTGCTTCACCCCCCAACCTCGCTTTTAAACAAACAGCTCCCACAATTCTGTTTTCATCCACGAGGGTATTAAAATGCTATTTCCCCACCGATATAAATTCGTTATGTCCCACGAAAGTAGTTCCATGAAAGCCCTGTTTTTAAAAGAGTAATGGGTGAGAGCAAATGTATAAGGTATTGCCACTTAATGGTATTCCTATGGTAAATACGGCACAAATGTGACCTGAACTTTAAATATTTCTGGGGTAGCAGAGAGACTGGCACCCTTGGAAACCGAGATAGTTTGATCCAGATGATTTAGTAGCGTCACTTATTGGGTTTGTTGTTTGTTGAAAACATCTTTAATGACCCTGAACAGCAACTGGCAGCAGTGTGCTGGAGCGAAAGGTACCTGCTTATTAGAGCCCACTGTTACATTTCCCCCAAATTTGGGTGCCAGTTGTTGATGCAAACATTATTAACATTAAATTATATAAGCATAATAAAATTAACTATGAAGACAAAAATATTACCCCAAAATCACTTTGGTCTAGTTACTTGATTACATTTACTATAATTTATGCTGAGGTCATTTACATCTATTGTATCCGAAATACTGTGCATTGGTTTGCTGTTGTGAATCTCTTCTTAAGTTTCCATTCAGTGATGTACTTGGGTAACTTGAAATCAGCCTTCATGGGTGCAGGGGTCGGCAAACTCATTAGTCAACAGAGCGGCAAACCGTGGCTCGAGAGCCGCAGTTTGCCGACCACTGCACTAAGGAACTCGAAAATACAACAAAATACGACTTTTTCTTCCTAAAAGCTGATTGTGAAACATTTACCGGCTTGCCACGTATGTTACCATCGACCACCCTGAATATTCCCAGGAGGCAAAACTCTCCTTACACGCAGGGTGCTCTGGTTATTCTCCCTGCAGCTTTGTTTGAGTGACTAGCGTCCTGGGATATTGTATGATTGCTCACTCAATTTTTCAAAGTTTTTTTCCTCTCTTCCCCCCACCCCCGCACCCCAAGTTGCCTTGCCATGTGATTGTATTTGGAATTGTCCTCCAGCAGAAAGACAGGAATAAGCCACTTGATACTAACGTTGCCCTTACCACCTGGTTCCAGGATGAGTAATGAATAGTTGCCATCCAGTTTAATGGGCTTAAGTTAATGATTTGGTTTTTCTCTAGAAAAGATGAAATCTGGGATGGTCTATGTCAGTATAGTTGACTGTTGAACAACACAGGGATTAGGGGCGCAGACCTCCATGCAGTGGAAAATCCTCTATACTCTTTTGGCAGCTTTTGGTCAAGATGGTGGAGATGGTAAACGTTGTACTTGCACCTTCCCGTGACAGCTTAGAATTACAGCTGAACTGCAGAACCACCACCGTTGAGAACCACCACCGCTGAGAACCACCTGAGGGCTACCTGAACAGAGGTTCTCTAATTAAGAAGTCACATTGACACTTGGTAGGAAGGGCTGAGATGTGGAATGAACAGGTTCCACTCAGCTGTGGAGGTTGCCCCTGACCTCCATCCCAGGTTTTCAGTGCTAGGAAGAGAGGTCCCCATAACTTCTGATGGTGAAAACCAGAGTAGATTGCAGTTGAGTGAAAAGTTTTGTTCTTAAAGGGCCCATGCACAGACTCACTTGCTGACAAACTCACTTGCCCTGAGCTCCAGTACTGGGGCAGCAGCTCAAAAAGCACCAGGGACATACGGAGAGGAACTGAACTGTCTGGCTCTAGGGCAAGGGTTGGAGGGGCAGCTTTTCCCCAGACACAAGTGCTGGCAGAAGCTGTTGCTCCTTTACTGAGCCCTCCCTCTGTAGGCACAGGTGAGGGCCATATCAGAGTCTCCAACACTATTTGCCCCATCCTGATGATTCCCTGAGACCCCACCACACCACACCCCTCCCCACCCCACTCAATGTTTGGGCCCATCCAAGCTACTCCCAGTGGTTATTTCATACAAATAGCCTGTCTTGGTTTATGCTGTGAACTTTCTTAAAATATTCCAAAGGTTCACAAACCCCCAGACAAGCAACATCTCGCCTCAGTGTGCCCTGTACCTCTTGCTGTGTGGCCTCAGGACAGCCCCTAGCAGGCAGCCAGCCTTGGTTTGCACCTTGGCCTCTACCAGGCGCATCCGAGGCCAGCCGAAGTGGTAACCCATCTACAGATCACTTTGTATCACTTTGTTTATGCCCCAGGCAGGGCATAGGCAATGGCCGACCTTGGCCTGTCCCTCCTGGATGCCGTGGAGCCAGCATTGAACCATGTTGGAGCACCACCCAACCACCTCCATGAGCGAGACACTCAAAGGGCAGACTTGGGCCCTGCCATGGCGCTCAGTGGTTAGGAGCATCAGCCTGTGAACTGAAGGGTCATAGATTCGGTTCCCAGTCAAGAGCAGGTACTTGGGTTATTGGTTTGATCCCTGACCCCGGGTTGTGCATGTAGAAGGAAACCACTCAAGGTGTCTGTCTCACATCAATCTTTTTCTTTCTTCTCTCCCTTCTTTTCCCTTCTACTGGCTCTAAAAATCAAGGGGGAAAATGTCCTCAGGTGAGGTTTAGCAAAGAAACAAACAAAAAAGGAAAGACTTTGTGGGCACCACAGCCCTGCTGAAGTGAGTTCTGTTCCATAGGTTCAGCTTCTGCATAGCAGCTCCTCCCCTATCGTCATGGCTGCTCCTTACAGCCAATTGGCTTGGGGGTCAGTTTCTGCCATTGATGTGCCAATGGCAATCAAAGCTCAACTACCTGGAGCACCTGCTTGGGTAACCCAGGAGGCTTTACCAGTGGGCCTATAAGACATCTACTACATAAGGCCATGCTACCAAGACTGGGAGAATGTAGCAACTCACTAACACATAGAAACAAACTAGGTTAGGAGACAAAGAAACATGTCCCAAATGAAAGAATAAGACCAAACTCCAGAAAAGAACTAAACAAAATGGAGACAAGCAACCTATCAGATGCAGAATTGAAAACGCTGGTCACAAGGATGATCAAGGGACCTAGAGGAAGAATAGGTCAACTCAGCAAGAACTTCAGCAAACATATAGGAAACAAAAATCAAGATAGAAAACAGAAAAAGGTCCAGTCAAAAATGAAGAATACAGCTGAAGCCGGTTTGGCTCAGTGGTAGAGTGTCGGTCTGCGGACTGAAAGGTCCCAGGTTCGATTCCGGTCAAGGGCATGTACATTGGTTGTGGGCACATCCCCAGTAGGGGTTGTGTAAGAAGCAGCTGGTTGATGTTTCTCTCTCATCGATGTTTCTAGCTCTCTATCTCCCTTCCTCTCTGTAAAAAAATCAATAAAATATATTTTTTTAAAAAAATGAAGAGTACAGCAACTGAAAAGAAGAATACACTAGCAGTGGTTCTCCACCTTTCTAATGCTGCGACCCTTTAATACCGCTCCTCATGTGGTGGTGACCCCCAACCGTAAAATTATTTTCGTTGCTATAATACTTCATCACTGTAATTTTGCTACTGTAATGTCGAGATCCACAGGTTGAGAACCGCTAGCAGGGTCGCCTAAGACCATCGGAAAACACAGATATCTACATTACGATTCATAGCAGTAGCGAAATTACAGTGATGAAGTATCAACGAAAATAATTTTACGGTGGGGGAGGGGGGTGTCACCACCACATGAGGAGCTGTATTCAAGGGTCGCGGCACGAGAAAGGTGGAGAGCCACTGAGTTAGAAGATGTAGTATCCTCCTCCTGTCTCTTCACATCATAAATGGCAAGGCCTCTTTGAATTCCCATCCTTGTGGGTTTAATGTTCCCAGCCCTGCTTTTCCCCCCACGCGCCGCAGACTTACTAAAGAAACACCCACTCCTGGGCAGTGATGGTGGTGTGAGAGGAGGCCTCCTCCCCTCTCTCCCCCTCCTGCTGGAGGGGGGCAGCAGATGCTGCGGAAGAAAGGGTGTAGCACCCGGGCAGCTCTGGTTCTCTTAAGTGGTCCCTGAATCAGGCCTCGATGTCATGTAGGTAAACGCAGTCCAGAGCACGCAGCCTCTTTATTGGAATT